CTTAAGGCGACTATATTCCAGACCCACATGCAACACCGTTGTACAGTCATAGCCTTGAGCAAGTCTTCTATCAGGAAAAAACTTTATTCAAGTGATACAGAATTTATTATACTGATAGCTCAGAGGAAATTGAGACCAAAACAGTTTCTTTTTACATTCCAAATTGTTGCAGTCCGGTGCAGGATATTGATGGTACTTTGGTGGTTTTGTCCATCAGCAATGGCTACAAATAAATGCTTCATTGACAAACCCCTCCTGAAACTCAGTGTCTGCAAACAGTGATACTTTCTTGCTGCTCCTCAGTCTATTTATGGGTTGTCCCATCTAACATTTCTACATGATGAAACTTCCGCTCACTTCTTGGTGTCTGCCTAATTCTCCTGATCATCACAGGATTAGTTTTGGCCATACGCTATACATCAGAAACCTCAACTGCCGTCTCTTCAGTCGCCCATATCAGCTGAGATGTAAACCACACTATTTTATTTTTCATCTGCCTCTTCTCTTACACGTTGGCTGAGGCTTGTGCTACGGGTCATTTATATTCCTAGAAACCTGAAATATTGGCATTCTCCTCCTACTCACGACTATAGCAACAGCATTCGTAGGCCACGTACTCCCATGAGGCCAAATATCATTCTGAGGTGCTACAGTAATTACAAATCTACCATCAGCCATCCCATATATTGCAACTGACCTTGTAGAATGAATCCGAGGCGGATCCTCAGTTGACAAAGCCACTGTCGCACGATTTTTGGCTATGCATTTCATCTCACCCTTCATCATTACAGCTCTAGCAACTGCTCTTTTATTTATTTATTTTTTTTGGGGGTGTGCAGACGGAGTTTCGCTCTTGTTACCCAGGCTGGAGTGCAATGGCGCGATCTCGGCTCACCGCAACCTCCGCCTCCCGGGTTCAGGCAATTCTCCTGCTTCAGCCTCCTGAGTCGCTGGGATTACAGGCACGCGCCACCATGCCCAGCTAATTTTTTGTATTTTTAGTAGAGACGGGGTTTCACCATGTTGACCAGGATGGTCTTGATCTCTTGACCTCGTGATCCACCCGCCTCGGCCTCCCAAAGTGCTGGGATTACAGGCGTGAGCCACCGCGCCCGGCCCTCACCTTTTATTCTTGCAGGAAACAAGATCTAACCACCCTTCAGGGGTTTCATCAGACCCCAACAAAACCACTTTCCACCCCTTCTATACAACCCAACGTAGTCTAGGTTTAATTTTTCTCCTCCTCCTTCTAATAGGACTCCTGCTTATTGTGACTATTATATGGCCCAGGTCTGCTGATGTTGGCTGAGCTCTCTCCTGTGACGGAGGCAGCAAGTTGGCATGGTGGCCAACTGGGGACTGTGGGATGAAAGTTGCGCAGGTGCCAAGGCAAGAGACCGAAGGCACAATCTGTCCCAGTACAGTAAATAAGTGATTAGTTTTAGCAATGATACCAAGTATATTTAGAAACAATCACATAATCAATTATATAATCAATCTTATTAAATCATTATTCTTTATTAATCTTTGCTTTAGTATTATAGCATGGAATCACTTTAGCCTTACAGTATAGACATAATCGGGTGAAATACAGTTAGGAACTGAAGGGACATTGTGAGACGTGATCAGGAGGCGAGAGCGAGAGCCTTGCAGTAGCACCAGTGCCTGGGAAGGCACCCGTTACTTAGCAGGCCCTGAAGGGGTTTCCCTTTCACTGGGGGAGTTCAGAGAACACTCTGCTCTGCTCAGCTCTTGAAGAAGGCCTGACATTAGCCAGGCCGGCCAGCAGACATCCAGGGGCTTAAATGCCTCTCTGAGGTGCTGTGCTCCAACCGTCACCATCCTTGTCTACTTTCATGTTCTGCTTTCCCACGTGGAGCTCCTTTTAACTTCTTAGAAGTTGTGAGAAGCAAGAACAGAGGAATCCTAAAAGCCTTTGATCTTTCTTATAAGTGCATAGAAAGATGCTGACAGATGTGTCTCCCCTCCTTGCAGCGGCTACCTGAAAGGGAGGGGCCCCCTGTACTGTAAGCATGTGATTTGCTTGACCCTACCAATCATGTCAGATGAGTCACTCTCCTTACCCTGCCTCCCTGCCTTGTATACAATAAATATCAGCACATCCAGGCATTCGGGGCCACTACTGGACTCTGTGCCGTGGTAGTAGTGGTCAACCAGGCCCAGCTGAATTATCTTACCTCTGAGTCTTGTGTCTTTCTTTCCTGTGATCTATCATCTCTGCACAGAAAAGAACATCCACTAGACCCTGCGGGGCTGGACCCTGCAGGGGACAACCTTCACTGGTGTCACTGCGGTGACTTACCTTTCATCCTGTGTTTCTCATGTGTCTTACCCAAGCAGGTAAGCTTGGGCATGTTCTCATGGTGGGGGTAAGGAAGCAAGGCGAGGAAATCTAATCATGTAACTGGCAAGAAGGATGACACCCACAATTTTGAAACTTACCTTCGAGTCACATTTCCTAACATTCCATTGGCTGAAGGAAATCTCAAGTCCAGCCCCAGAGTCAGACAAGGAGAGAGTTACAAAGTCACAGGAAAGGGATGTGGATAGATGGAGACCATTACTGGGGCTACTGATGCCATCAACCTATGACAATGGCTATGGGTAGGAGCAGTGCCATCTCTTGCTTCCATATCTCTCAGAACTATCACCTCTGTATTGAGCACTCTGGAGAAGCCAAGCATTGAAGACTAATTTATCATAGATGAACTCGTGTTCATAAATATGTGTCCCACCTCCCAAGTTAGGCTGGCAAGAATAACAAAGACAGAGCCTCCATCAGCTGAGTTTAATGTTGTTAACAAATTGTCCAGTGCACAATATTTCTGAGCTAATTGAACCCTAAGTGCTTAGGTGACTCAGAGTAAATATGTAGTCTAGTCTCTGTGCCCCTAAACTAAGTATTCCTGGCATGAAAGGAAGAGAAAAAGGGAAACAAGGCATCTGGAGAAGGAGCTTTATCATCAAGAGCTCAAACCCAGCTGAATGATTTATGTGGCTGTGTGATCCTGGGATAGTCGCTTAACCTCTCTGAGCTTCAGTTCTCTTGCCTGCAAAATGAATAGTAATCATCCATCCATTCATTCATTCATTCAACATTTTTACTGAGAATCTACTTAATGGAAATCCCTGTCCTTATGAAGCTCTTAATCTATGTTGCAGACACCCAAGAAAAAGGGAAATTATAATACAGGGTGAGAAAGTATGAAGCTCTTTGGCACATACAGACATGACACCATGTCTTCCTTTCATGCCAGAGGGGATGGCTACACTGCAGCTTAAAGAGACAGCAGACATCAATTGAGTTTTGAGGAAAGTTATTCTAAGATAAGGTGCAAAGGGCCAAAGTCAAGAGGAAGACATTTTTCTCTCTGGCTTTAAAGACAAGCTCTGCTGTCAGGATGAAAAACAAAAGAATGTTCTACAATACTGCTTTTCAGACACCATAGCTATACTCATCCTCTGGGGATTTGGTTAACATGCAAGTTTGATCCTGGAGGTCTGGAGTGGGGTCTAAGATTCTTCTTTGCTTTTCTAACAAGCTCTCAGGTGATGCTGATTGGTCCAGGGACCACACTTTGGATTGGGAGGTTTTAGAGTGTCCATAGGAATGAAGATATCTACATTTAAACTATCATCTTCTCTCTCAAGCTCAAGAATTTAAGGATGGTGGCCAGGCGTGGTGGCTCACACCTGTAATCCCAGCACCTGCCCAGAGGCAGGTGGAACATCTGAGGTCAGGAGTTCAAGACCAGCCTGGCCAACATGGTAAAACTCCATTTCTACTAGAAATACAAAAATTAGCCAGGCGTGGTGGTGCACACCTGCAGTCCCTGCTACTTGGGAGGCTGAGGCAGGAGAATTACTTGCACCCGGGAGGCAGAGGTTGCAGTGAGCCAAGATCGTGCCACTGCACTCTGACCTAAGCAACAGAATGAGACTGTCTCGGGAAAAAAAAAAAAAAAAAGAATGTAAGGATGGATAGTGATAACTGTGAGCACAGCAAATCCCAGCCAAGTCATTGGAAAGTTTCTTGAAAGAAGGGAGTTGGCTGGGCACGGTGGCTCACACTTCAAATCCCAGCACTTTGGGAGGCTGAGGTGGGTGGATCATCTGAGGTCAGTAGTTTAAGACCAGCCTGGCCAACATGGTGAAACTCCATCTTTACTAAAAATACAAAAATTAGCCCGGTGTGGTGGCGGGTGCCAGCGGTCCCAGCTACGTGGGAGGCTGAGGCAGAAGAATCACTTGTACCCGGCAGGGAGGCAGAGGTTGCAGTAAGCTGAGATCATGCCACTGTCCTCTGGCCTGGGCAACAGAACGAGACTCTGTCTCAAAAAAAAAAAAAAGATATTTAAGGATGGGTAGCGATAATTGTGAGCAGAGCAAATCCTAGCAAAGTCATTGAAAAGTTTCTAGAAAGAAGGGAGGTCGGTTGGGTGCACATTTGTAATCCCAGCACTTTGGGAGGCTGAGGCAGGTGGATTACGAGGTCAGAAGTTCAAGACCAGCCTGGCCAACACAGTGAAATGTTGTCTTTACTAAAAATACAAAAATTAGCTGGGTGTGGTGGTGAGCACCTGTAATTTCAACTATTCAGGAGGCTGAGGCAGGAGAATCACTTGACCCAGGAGGTGGAGATTGCAGAGAGCCAAGATCTTGGACAGAACTAGACATCGCCTCTTAAAAAAAAAAAGAAAGAAAGAAAGAAGGGAGGTCTAGGTTACCCAGAAGATCCCAGGAAACCAAAGCAATTTTCAAAGAGTATTGTCATCAAGTGCTTCAATCCTCCAGGAAGTGCTAGAATTCTGCTGCTACATCAAATGTCTCCCTGCTTACCAACATCACTTTTTTAAGTGTTTGTGCCAAAGTAGCTTCTCTATGTGCCATATTGGTTCATTGGGACTCTCATTACAGTTTTACTGACCATTTCTTTAAAATCACAAAGAGTCTTTGTCCTAGGGTAAATCAGTAAGGCGGATGACAAGTCATTTATTGAGAGGTCCTCTGTGTCAGGCGCTGGAGGGCCCGCTTAGAAACACGCACCAAGAAGGGCAGGATAAAGCAAAATGGTGGCCAGGTGTCCTTCGTCATGCCATTGAATTGGGGTCAGTTCTCAAAAACTCTGGAATTCAAAAAGCTGCAGAGCACAGAAGATAAAATGGTGATTTGGAGCAGAAACCCCTGATTCTCATCAGTGCACACAATCGTGGGAGGACAGCTGCAAACATTCTTCCCCAGAGAGTTCTGGGGCAGGTGGGATCCTCATTTCCATGTTAAGCTGTGAAGAGAAGATTTCGGGTAGGCTCCTGCAGGAAACTAGTGTCCTCAGCTGTTGTCCCATAGCACATTTGAAAACAAGAAAGAAAGGACTTTACCCCTGTGAGAGAGAAAAGAATTTCCTCAGAGTCTGCAGCAGAGTTAATACAAATGTGATTCCAAGGATCGTATCTACAGGGACAGGAATATTAAAATAATACAGTAACAAAGACTAGAAGGGGGCTGGGTGCAGTGGCTCACACATGTAATCCCAGCATTTTGGCAGGCCGAGGTGGGTGGATCACCTGAGGTCAGGAGTTCCACACCAGCCCAACCAACATGGTGAAACCCCGTCTCTACAAAAACACAAAAATTAGCTGGACATGGTAGCACATGTCTGTAATCCCAGCTGCTCAGGAGACTGAGGCAGGAGAAGCACTTGAACCTGGAAGGCGGAGGTTGTGGTGAACCGAGATCAAGCCACTGCACTCCAGCCTGGGTGACAGAGCAAGACTCTGTCTCAAAAAAAAAAAAAAAAAACAAAAAAAGAAAGAAAAGAAAAGAAAGAAAAATTAGCACTGAGACAAAGGATCTTTTAACATCTATTTCCAACACAAGCACAGTTGGAAAACCCAAAAGCCATTCTCAACCTCCTCAGCATAGATAGTGCCCACTCTGGACTTTAGAAAGCCAGACGGCTGTTGGTTATTACAACCATGAAAATAATACAATAAAATGTCAGCATGCACCGGACGTGGTGGCTCATGCCTGGAATCCCAGCACTTTGGGAGGCCAAGGTGGGTGGATCACCTGAGACTGGGAGTTCAAGACCAGCCTGGCCAACATGGAGAAACCCCAACTCTACTTAAAATACAAAATTAGCAAAGCGTGGTGGCGCATGCCTGTAATCCCAGCTACTGAGGAGGCTGAGGCAGGAGAATCACTTGAACCTGGAAAGCGGAGGTTGTGGTGAACTGAGATAGCACCACTACACTCCAGCCTGGGCGACAAGAGTGAAACTCTATCTCACCAAAAGAAAGAAAAAAAGTCAACATGCTGATGGTGGAATGGAAAACTAGGGAAAACCTAGATTCTTAGTTTAGACCTTTTATAACACCAGTAAGCATAGAACCAGCAAAACTAGCAATATCAGCAACACCTAACTCTGGACTTCTCTTCTTACGAGGAAAATCATTCCCTATTTAATTAAGCCACTGGATCTAAAGTACTTGCATCCAAAAATATTACTAACTGGGATCTTTATGGGGTGGGATAACGGGAAAGATTAGTTTTATTTGTTTTCAATGCTTAAAACTATTTTCTAAAATGTTCTGTACCTATACTGTCTTCTTTATTAAAAATAAACTGTATTATGTTAAAAAACTTATTGCCAAGAGAATATGTCATCCATGATTTGGACAGTTTTTCCAGTAGGTTATTCTTGTGGCTTATTCTGAAACCACCGAACTTGCCCCTCTGTGACATTCAGTTAACTCATAATGAAAATAGATCGATATCTCCCTTGCTGGACTTTTGCAAGACTTAACACTGAGACCTTGCTATGTTCTAGGCGCTCTTCCAACCTTGTTGCATACCAGTTCATCTAATATTTAGTATAACTGCCAGGTGGGGTGGCTCGTGCCTGTAATCCCAACACTTTGGGAGGCTGAGGCGGGAGGATTACCCAAGGTCAGGAGTTCGAGACCAGCCTGACCAACATGGAGAAACCCCGTCTCTACTAAAAATACAAAATTAGCTGGATGTGGTGGCACATACTTGAACCCAGGAGGAGGAGGTTGCAGTGAACTGAGATTGCACCATTACACTGCAGCCTTGAGCAAAACTCTGTCTCAACAAGAACAAAACTCTGTCTCAAAAAAAAATTTAGTATAAACTTCCAAGGTAAGGATTACCATTATCCCCATTTTATTAGTGAGGAAACTAAGCTATTGAATTACTATTTACTCAGGAAATATTAACCGAGAACTTTCTGTATGCTAGATAGTATTGTTTTGGACCTGGAAAACATTGTTGAAAAAAAATAAGACATTCTAGTGGGAAAACAACTTCCCCCCATTTGCATATTCATTTTAATATTTCAATATTCCTGAAAATCTACATATATGTCATCCATAATATATAAAATTTTTATAACATGTAAAATTTTTCTATATATAAATATATATGCGAAGATATTTATATTTTATTTGAGATGGAATTTTGCTCTTTTTTTTCAGTTTTATGAGTATTAGCAGAGTGTAGCCAATCAGCATGCCAAGCATTCATCACAAGTGATCCATTTGATTTCTTTCATATCATATTTCCTGTCATAAACCTGCTCTTATGTACTAACGAGTTTTGCTCTTTTGGCCCAGGCTGGAGTGCAATGGTGCAACCTCTGCTCACTACAACCTTGGCCTCTTGGGTTCAAGAGATTCTCCTGCCTCAGCCTCCTGCGTAGCTGGAATTATAGGCACCTGCCACCATGCCTGGCTAGTTTTGTATTTTTACTAGAGATGGGGGTTTCACCATGTTGGCCAAGCTGGTCTAAAACTCCTGACCTCAGGTAATCCACCTGCCACGGCCTCCAAAAGTGCTGGAATTACAGGTGTGGGCCACTGCACCTGGCCAATATCTATATTTAAACTTACATCTTACATTTATATGTATATGGAATTTATATATATACAACTTATAAATTATACACATAAATTTATACATATAAATTTATTCTATATTCTACATATAATTGTATATTCTATATACATATAATATAGAATGTATGTACATATAAATGTATAAATACATATACATATAAATGGTTGCAGTGAGCCGAAGTCGCACCATTTCACTCCAGCCTGGGAGACAAGAGTGAGACTCCATCTCAAAAAAAAAAAAATCTATACCATAAACTTATTCTACAAGTTTATGTATATATGTATATAACTTCCATATTATATGTATACCATATTATCTATTATTGTATATATAATAAATGTATATAGATTTATTTTATAAACATAATATATAAAATATTATTTTTAACACATGTTACATAATTCATATACAAATCTATATATGTAAGTCTTTTGTTATAAATTATATGTCTTATTTTTTTTTCTTTTTTTCAAGGTGCTGTTAAATATATGTCTTATTTATTCTTGCAATTTTATTTAGATAGATAGATGATAGACATTTAGATAGATAATGTGTGTGTCTGCTAATATATATATATATATATATATATATATATATATATATATAACTCCCCAGTCTTTAACTGCATACTTTATCCATGAGCTACCTAGGGTGGGCACCCTCAGTTCCCATTCAGTACCCAACACATGGCAGAGTTGACTGTCAGTTGGTGGCTGGCACCTCCCCTGACCAGTGCCCACAGGGAGCATGCGGTCTCTTACCGTCTTGGAAGTGGACGGCATGGAGGAGAGTGAGATCCTTGAGGTCTGGGACTCAGAGCTGGGCTTGGTCTTCCCAGGGATCCACCTCTTGTATTCTTCTCGTACCTGGAGAAGGAGACACACCCCAAGATGGAGAGAAATGGTCCAGGGACAGGGATGTTGGGTGGAGGGATGCGGGGGATGGGGAAGGCAGCAGCTACACACCTGGTGGTTGAGCAGACAGTGAATGAGGAAGATGAAGGACCCCTGCAGGCTGTTGATGATGGTGAACAGGTAGGCCATGACACCTGCCACAGGTCCAAACTGAAAAAGGCCCAGCACCCAGGAGCAGCCCAGGATGAAGAGCTGGGCAAAGGCCTTGAAGGTCAGCAATCTAGGGAGAAGATGTACAGAGTGTAAGGCTCTGGGAGGTGGCCAGTGTGTTCGTAGGCTGTTGGGAACAAATGCTTGGTGCTGCAAAGAAGAATCAGCACTGAGATGGCCAGGTGTGGTAGCTCACGCCCGTAATCCCAGCACTTTGGGAGGCTGAGGCAGGTGAATCACAAGGTTATGAGTTCAAGACCAGCCTGGCCAAGACAGTGAAATCTCATCTCTATTAAAAATACTAGCCAGGTGTGGTGGCAGGTGCCTATAATCCCAGCTACTCGGGAGGCTGAAGAAGGAGAATCACTTGAACCTGGGAGGTGAAGGTTGCAGTAAGCTGAGATTGGGCCATTGTACTCCAGTCTGGGTGACAACAGCAAAACTACATCTCAAAAAAAAAAAACTGCAGTCAGCTTCCAATATACATGGATACTGTACACACATGAATTTGGAGATTTTTTTTTTTTTTGAAAGACAGTCTCACTCTGTCGCGAGGCTGGAGTACAGTGGCGCTTTCTTGATTCACTGCAACCTCCACCTCCTGGGTTCAAGAGATTCTCCTGCTTCAGCCTCCTGAGTAGCTGGGATTACAGGTGCCCACCACCATGCCCAGCTAATTTTTGTATTTTTAGTAGAGATCTGGTTTCACCATGTTGGCCAGGATGGTCTCGATCTCTTGACTTTGTGATCTGCCCACCTTGGGCTCCCAAAGTGGTGAGATTACAGGCGTTAGCCAATGGTGTCATCTTCTAAACAGACCTCACCATCTGCGTCTTGGGCATGGGACCCAATACACAAAAAGTGCTCAAAGAACTTTTCTGAGAAGAAGCAAAAGGAATTTAAAAGAGGAGGGGAGAGGAAAAAGGGCTGCACCTGGTGTCTTTTAGTGTCGAGACTTCGGCATTGACGCTGGAAAGCCTCTGCCTCAGGATCCACAAGGTCCAGGTCAAGAGGATGGAATTGATCTGCAAAGTCAAGCAGCAAGATGGAGAGACTGGATATACAAATGGGCAATGACCAGAACAACTATAAAAGGAGAACTCTGGGCTGGGTGCGGTGGCTCCTGCCTGTAATCCCAGCACTTTGGGAGGATGAGGCAGGTGGATCACTTGAGGTTAGGAGTTCGACACCAACCTGGCCAACATGGTGAAACCCTGCCTCTACTGAAAATACAAAAACTATCTGGGCATGGTGGCAGGTGCTTACAATCCCAGCTACTCAGGAGGCTGAGGCAGTGAACCTGGGAGGCAGAGATTGCAGTGAGCCAAGATCATGCCACTGCACTCCAGCCTGGGCGACACAGAGAGACTTTGTCTCAAAAAAAAAAGGAGAACTCTGACCCACAATCTATGGGCAACCAATCTAGAAAGCTAAACAATGACCCCTGTAGCAATTGAACAAGACAACCAGGACTTGGTTAATAACTCCCTACTTTTTGTTCCTGCTTCCAACTTAGGATCTTCCCTAATTTTTGTCCCCACTTCCAACTTACAACCAACATGTAAAAGCCAATATTCATCCCTAATCAATCACAGAGGATGTCCCGCTCCTAGTTAGCCACGTACTGCTTGCCCATCCGTGCATCAGCCTCCCATCAGGTCATAGCTGTAGTCTTCTCTTTTTTCCTCTACAAACCTTCCTCACTTCTCTGCCTGCCTTTGAGTCTGAGCCAATGCAAGTGATGGTAGCTGACACCCGCATTGCTAGACGACAGCAGTCTCTGAATAAACAGCCTTTGCTTGTTCTCAAAGGGGCAGTCTCTGTTTATTTTCCCAAGGTGCATTCAATACGTTAGGACGTAGACTGTGACCTTGAGTGGAGAGTTTACTATCTTCTAAAACCCTCCCTCGAAAGCATCCCTGACTGAGATATACATACTCCCAGGGCAGGGTCTCTTCACCTGGGCAATACTGACGTGTGGGTCAGACCATTCTTGGTGTGTGGGGGGAGCGGGGGGAAGGCGGCTGCCGTGTGCACCACCAAAGCAGGATCCCTGGCTTCTGCACACTAAATGCCAGTAGAATCCGCCTTTTCTAGTTGTAACAACCAAAAATGTCTTCAAACTTTGCCAACTTCCCCTGAGAGGAAAAGCAGTACCAGTGGAGAACCACTGCCCCAGGGGAGTTGCTTTTTTCCAGATCAGTAAAACTTCCAAGAAAGCCCAATGTCCTTGAAGATTTGGGAATGGGTAAGATAAACATTGATGATGATGATGATGATTATTATTACTGAGACAGAGTCTTGCTCTTGTCTCCCAGGCTGGAGGATAATGGTGTGACCCTGGCTCACCACAACCTCTGCCTCCCAGGGTCAAGTGATTCTCCTGCCTCAGCCTCCCGAGTAGCTGGGATTACAGGCATGTGCCACCACAACTGGCTAATCTTGTATTTTAAGTAGAGATGGGGTTTCTCCATGTTGATCACGCTGGTCTTGAACTCCTGACCTCAGGTGATCTGCCTGCCTCGGCCTCCCAAAGTGCTGGGATAAGAGGCGTGAGCCACCATTCCACTTTTTTTTTTTTTTGAGCCAGAGTCTCAGTCTGTCACCCAGGCTGGAGTGCAATGGTGAAAATTTGGCTCACTGCAACCTCCATGCCTCCTGGGTTTAAGCTACTCTCCTGCCTCAGTTTCCTGAGTAGCTGGGATTACAGGTGGTCACCACCACGCCTGGCTAATTTTTTATATTTTTAGTAGAGATGGGGTTTTGCCAAGGTGGCCGGGCTGGTCTTGAACTCCTGACCTAAGGTGATCCACCCACCTCAGCCTCCCAAATTGCTGGGATTACAGGCATGAGCCACTGTGCCTGGCCTAGAAAGGAGAACTCTTGAGTGGAATAAGTGACCCTCTTAGTTGCACATGTCCCTGCAAATTCCTGATCCCACAGTCTCCTTGCTCCTCCTCCAGAACACGCTTCACCAGGCTGTCGTAGTATTTGCTTACCATTATGACTATGCAAACTGGCCCCAAGAAACTCAAGATGAACCCCGCCTCTGTATTCAGCCAGCAGCTATGGAGAGAAATAGGAGGAGTCAGCGCTCTCCTCAGAGTCCTGACCTGATGTTAACACTGCCCCAACAAACGCCCTTGTGGAGGAGAACGTTGGGAGGTGAGACTCAGAGGATGTTCAGGATCATTCCAGTTGCAGTTCAGTTTCCTTTAGACCTCAGTGCTTCCTCTTTTAGACCTTCTTCCTGTGCAAATGTACCTTTGGCACAGAAATGTACCTGGGAAATGCTTACCCAGTGCCCAAGGTTGAGCTCATTTCCCAGTTCACTACTTTGTAATCCCTGTTAGGACCAACGGGTAGAAGCCAATAAGCACCCCTAACCAATCACATAGGATACCCCCTCCTGGTCAGCCACCTACAGCTTTCCCATCCATGCAACAGCCTCCAGTCAGGTCATACCTGTAGCCTTCTCTTTTCTCCTCTACAAAGCATCTATCCAAACTCTCCACTGGTACACCTTGTCATTTAAACCTCAGCTCAGGCCTGGCATGAGGACTCGCACCTATAATCTCAGCACTTTGGGAGGCCAAAGCTGGTGGATCACCTGAGGTCAGGAGTTCAAGACCTGCCTGGACAACATGGCAAAACCCCGTATCTCCTAACAATACGACAAATAGCCAGGCGTGGTGGCAGATGCCTGTAACCCCATCTACCTGGGGGGCTGAGGCAGGAAAATTGCTCGAAGCTGGGTGGTGGAGTAGTGAGCTGAGATCGCACCATTGCACTCCAGCCTGGGTGACAAGAGCAAAACTCTGACTCAAAAATAAATAAATAAATAAATCTCAGTTCAAATGTCACCTCCTCTGAGAAGTCACTCCTGACTGTCCTTAGATAAGGCATCCTATCTCTACTCCTGGTATTCATCTAGCAGAGTTCACTGCATTTTTAAACTAGCAGCTAGCACTGTCATAAGTCACCTTGTTTAATTGTTTGCTAGACTAGAGTTGCATGAGAATTTGGGCCTTGGGTGTTTGTTCATCTCTGAACACTCAGCACCCAGCGTAAAGCCTAGCATAGACAAGACATTTCATAATTGTTTATTTAAAGTAAGGAAGGAAGGGAGGGAGGAAGGGAGAGAGGGAGGGAGGGAGGGAAGGATGAGGGAAAGGAGGAAGGGAGGAAGGAGGGAAGTGAGGAAGGGAGGAATGAATGGAGGAGGGAGAGAGGGCAGGAGGGAGAGAAAAGGGATTGCCTCTTTCTATTATGTCTCTAGTGTACATTAGCTGCTTTTACACAACAACCATTCTGTCATGTTCAATAACAGCACTCCAATGTTCCCTAAGCAGAAGTATTCCTCTCCCACCTTCACTCCCACCCCCCATGTCATATACACAAGGAAAGGAAAATAATCAAGTTAGGTCAACCAGATGTTCTCTCCCTGGGACATAAATCTCAAATAGTAGTGACCCTGGATTTGTGCAGTGCACAACCTGTGCTGCTGTACATGGTGGTCCTGAAACCAACAGTACATAAAGTAAGAGCTCAATAAACAGTAGCCACAACCACTGTTACCATTATTACTCTTCTTGCTGCTCATGTCATGATCACCATGAGCCCTGGCAGCAGGGTCTTCAGGAAGAGAGAGGATGCCACTCACCGATTATACATTCCATAGCCTTGTGGCTGCACACTGGCAGAGATCACCACGACCAGCCCTGGCAGCCCATAACCAAAGACACAGAGGTACGGCATCTTGATGTTGCGAGAGCTGAAGTAATTCACCACCTTCAGGTTTCTGACCATCAGGAAGAGCATCACAGCTTCCACCAGCATCCAGAAGAAGCAAGCAAGGAAAAAGTAGTGCAGGAAGCCCGCAATGATGGCGCAGCCCATCTGGAGGGGAGAAGCATGCACATCAGGATCCTTCACTCCAGAGAGAAATTGAGCAGGAGAAAGGAAGAGAGAGACTCCTTGGATGGAAGTTCCCAAAACCTAGTTCATTCATTCATCTCACAAACATGTATAGAGATTCTCAGTGGTTCTTGACCAGAGCAAGCACCATCTCTTGGTAAGGGGGACTCATCGTCCTGGTTTGTCTGGAACTGAGATTTCTCAAGACGCTTGACTTTCAGTTCTAAAACAGGAAGAGTTTTAGGAAAACTGATCGTGGATCACCCTACCTTAGGGAATGGTTGAAAATGGAGGGGGGGGCGCTCAGCAAACTGAGACTTCCTTGTAAATAAAGTTTTATTGGCTGGGCATGGTGGCTCGCGCTTGTAATCCCAGCACTTTGGAAGGCTGAGGCAGGCAGATCGCTTGAGCCCAGGTGTTTGAGACCAGCCTGGGCAACATGGCGAACCCCCCGCATACAAAAATGCAAAAATTAGCCAGTCATGGTGGCGCATGCCTGTGGTCCCAGCTACTTGGGAGGCAGAGGCAGGAGGATCGCTTGAGCCCAGGAACATGTAAGGAGCTGTGATTCAGCCACTGCACTCCAGCCTGGGTGACAGAGCAAGACCCTGTCAAAAAGTCAAAAAAAAAAAGAATGGGAGGGGAGGGGAGGGGAGGGGAGGGGAGGGGAGAGGAAGGGAGGGGAAGGGTGGAGAAGGGAAGGGAAAGGGAGGGGAAGGGAAGGGAAAGAGAGGGGAAGGGAAGGGGAAGGGAGGGGGGGAAGGGAAGAGAAGTAGAGATTCTAAGCTGTAGCATTGTTGACATTTGTGACATTATCTCGGGATCATTCTCTGTCATGGGGGTAGGGCTGTCTTGTGCTCTACAAGATATTTAGCACCATCTCTAACCTTTACCCACTAGATGCCCATAGCACGCTCCTCCAGTTGTTACAACCAAAATGTCTCTAGACATTGCCAATGCTCCCCTGGGGGGAATAGTAGCCAGGAGAGAACCTCTGGTTTAGAAAGTAATGGGGGGGCCAGGCGTGGTGACTCATGCCAGTAATCTCAGCACTTTGGGAGGCCAAGGTGGGTGGATCACGTGAGGTCAGGAGTTTGAGACCAGCCTGGCCAACATGGTGAAACCCCATCTCTACTAAAAGTACAGAAAAAAAAAATTAGTGGGGCGTGATGGCTCATGCCTGTAATACCAGCTACTTGGGAGACTGAGGCAGGAGCATTGCTTGAACCCAGGAGGTGGATGTTGCAGTGATCTGAGATTGTGCCATTGCACTCCAGCCTGGGCAATAAGAGTGAAACTCTGTCTCAAAAATAGAAACAAAAAAACAAAAACAAAACAAACAAAAAACAAGTAATAGGAGGAACCAGTACAATTCATTACAAGATCAGGGATGTAATTTAAACTGAGAGCTGTCACAAGGACTCAAGCAGGTGAGAAGCTGGAAGTAAGTGTTACAGGCAGAGGGCACAGCATATGCAAAGGACCTGAGGTAGGAACAGGCATAGAGGGAGTTGGGTAGGAATGAGCAGAGGCAGATGGGGAGAAGATGGGACTCGGTGAGGACATAGCCCGGGCAATGTAGACCTGGTTGTCAGTCTTGTCTATACCGGCGAGGAAGACAGTCTCGGCCAAGAGGAGGCACACGCAGAGGTGTAGGTGGAGGTAGGTGTTGTGATTTCAGATGGAGCGACACAGCAGAAAGGTGGCGATGGCCAAGATGAGGCACACCAAGGAGATGATGATGCCCATGTGGCTAATGATGTACAAGGAGAACTCCATCTGTCAGGAAGGAATTCCATAGTTGGGATCTGAGAACAGGATCAAAATCCCCCCAGGAGGAGAAAAAGAGTTATCCAAAACCCTCGCTCAGGCAAAATTAGCTTGGGGGCCTTTTTTTCCTCTAACACTCAGAGTGAACTAGATCTTGTCCTTCATTATCCTTTGCAATCCACTGGCATCCACCAACACCTGTTCCCAGCTGTGTCCTACGCACTACTCCATGTTTTACTGGGGCTGTATGTCCACAAACTACATCTCCCAGAATCCTTTAGAACTAAGGTCCTGGATATAATCTAGGTTCTCCAGTGAGATAGATCTGTGAAAGTTTTGGAATGCAGAAGGGAGGCAAATATTAGCTTTCTGCAGACAGGAGTGAGCTGTGGCTTAATTCCACATTTCAACTGTCCAGTCCCCAGTTTCATGGTGGAGTGGGATGGCAAAATGACATCAGCAATTTCTGAGTTACAGCTGCATTGGGGGATGACCTTGAAGCCAAAATCCAAGCGGCAGCCACCTGACTTCAACTCCTCCATCCTCTGCCAGAGATTTTTGTGAGCACCCAGTTCTCTGTGTTAAATCCGTTTCTGCTTGAAATACCTGGAGTGGTTTTGCTTCCTGTATTGAATCCCAACTGATAATGTAGACATTCAAGAATGCTCCAACTTTGGGAGTGGAACATGACACACTAAGTCCTTCTTCTATGCCATTTATTCATAATTAATTTTAAAATGAATTTTAAATGTATCTGAGGGCTTTCTGTGGGTGAAACATATGCTAGGCACCATCTTCTGAGTACCTCTCTGTGATACTGTCACAAAGTGGTTAAGAAAACTGACCATTGGCTGGGCACAATGGCTCATGCCTGTAATCCCAGCACTTTGGGAGGTCAAAGTGCATGGAACACCTGAGCAAGAGCAGCCTGGCCAACATGGTAAAACTTCATCTCTACTAAAAATGAAAAAAAAAGCTGGGCATGGTAATGGGCCCCTGTAATCCCAGCTACTTGGGAGGCTGAGGCAGGAGAACCACTTGAACTTGAGAGGCAGAGGTTGCCGTGAGCCAAGATCAAGATCATGCCATTGCACTCCAGCCTGGAGGACAAGCGTGAAACTCAGTCTCAA